ATTATGAGCTTTATCAAAACTTTATAATTAAATAGCGCCCTTTGTGCGGCATTCAGCCGCAAGAGGCAGCAAATGATTGTTTAAAAAAATTTCCACAACATAGTAACAGAAACTTAATTCTTCGTCTTTTAGTTTTAATCTCTATATCTATCTCGTTTTAATCTCTCTATAAATAAAAAGTTCAATAAACATCTTTAAGTATAACATCCATTCACTTTTGACAGGAACTACAACTACCGCTGTATACCAAAAGCCATCGTTTAAGCGTGATATATGTAGTGTTAAAAGAATCCGCACAAACACGAGGGCACTCCAGCATACTAGCTATTTCAATGTTCAGTGAGGAAGTTGATTGATATGATCGGACGCGAAAATTCACTGAGTAACAAATTGCAAGCGTATGATTGAGTCCAGCGAGTAGTGAGAACATATTAAAACGCTAAATATTAATTTCGTTCTCACTAGCAGTGTAATTTTTTACAGCTCAAAAAACGAAAAAAAAAATTATGTTATTCCTCTAATCTTCACTTTATGAGGTATACATCAATACTGATTAACTATGATATAAGGAAAGAATGCGAATTTTAAGCCTTTGGTATATCAGGTGGAGGAACTTGTTATTTTATTTCTGACAAGCACAATTAAGACTTTATATTAAAAAAAAATATCATAACATATCTTTAGAGGAAGCTTTTGTCGAAGCTGTATTGAAGATGGATGCCCGGATAAAAGTAAAAAATTTGAAATGCAATTAAATTTGAAATTTATACAAGGATTAATAGATAAATCGGTTAGGTTGTAACTTTACATATACAAATACACAGGAAGTTTAGTTAGCAGTAATAGAGAGTTAACTGTTAGCAAAGACGTTCTATAATAATACCTGTAACATAAATCACTATCGGCTACAAAATTTAATGAAGAGTTCCAAGGTGCAATTTGCTTAAAACTCAACATACATTAAATGGATCATCTATCGTCTATTGAGCAGATGGGCACGAATTCGGCGCTGTAAACATTTCGCAAACGGACTTTAATCCCGGTCATAAAAGTAATCCGCTCATAAACTTACGCGACGATGGACAACATAAGGGTAGGGATTTTCTCTCACAAAGATTTCGCAGTAATTAAGATAAAACGGCAGGAGTTTTATACGTAACCGGAGCGAGTAGCTCTACTCGTTTTTCAGCGCTCATAGCGAGTTAATCCTCGAGTATGCAATAAAGCTGCTAAAGTATTTGTGTTCCCGGCGAAATTACCCATATTGAAAATACCCTTCAGCGCTAACAGCCGACTAAAGGCTTATTTAAACATGTTCGTATATCACATATATATATTATAAGTATGTAGTTACCCTCGCATATCTCATTTTAATGTAAAATATATTATCATAACTGCATGCTTAAGTTTTCTGATAACGGTGACTTGGAAAGTATGAGGTACAAGTCAGCAAACTCCGTATCGACTTTCAAACTGCTTTCCCGTATTGATTTGCAATTATCATAACGCTGTTACTGTTTAACTTGGCTCTGTTAAATATTTTACGTTTCGAGTGCGAATTATAAATTTTGCAAACGTTGAATTTGGAAACGTTAAAAGTATTGGCCATAATTCAGAATTTAACGCGCAATTCGTGTACCAAATCCGAGTACCAACGTAAATGATTTACATCTGTAGGCATGACGTAAAAATACAATATAGTACACATAACAAGTATATATTATATTAGTATAGTATTTTTTTAAAATGTAGAAGGAAGGCGTTAAGATTTTCGTCGCTGTGGCTCTCAGCCGTTTAGCTCAGTGGCTAGAGTGTCAGGCCGCGAATGCCGAAGACGTGGGTTCGATTCCCACAACGGCGACAATCTTTTCGTAATTTTTCTACATGTTTTAATGTTGAAGAATAATATTTTCTTAAAAATAGAATTAAATGACCGAGGTTTAATCCCAGACGTGACCATATAAGAGCAACACAACGCAAAAGTAATAGAAAATGCAGTGCAGAAGATGAGTCTGAATAGAACCAACTTTTATATATGAAAAAATAAATTATACGATTTCAAATTCTAAAGCCGTTGAACTACTGTCAATAATAATGTCGGGTATAATGTCACTGTAACAGCGCAGAGGCCCGTTTATATTACATTCAGGCACACGGCTAACCAAAAAAGGGAGAACAAAAGGTATTTAGAACGCGTGGAAACCGCAAGCGAGAAACGCGGAGCGTTACAGATGTCGCCCGAACGTTTCGGAAAGTTGTTTCATGAAGATGTCGCGGCAACATTCCACCGCCCCTTTGGCAAATGCATGCATACCTTGCACGGCTGACAAAATTTCACAAGCGTCCCGTTGGCCACCACATTACTGTCCACGGCCCTGCTACACGTAAGTGTCAAAACCTCTTTCCCTCAGGCAAAGAAATGTACACCAATTCTTTCAAATGAGTTTCATTTAAGATCGTTTTTTTGCATTGTTTTATTAATCAAGCATTTTGAAACTCTTTAGTGATTTCATTTCAATTTACAATAAAAAGAACGCTTCAACGGCGTTTAATATGCGAAAAGCAACGCAAGAATTGTTACGTAAGCGCCTGTAAGAAAGTTTCGCGAACAGTTTAATTTAAACAACGTGATACCGACATGAAAATAAGAAAGATTAAACTCAGAATTTTATGCAACGTAATTAAATTATATCGTATCCGAGTTCCGCAAGCCGGAGTTTTTAAGTTCACCAGAGGGTGTCTAACTCGTAGCTTGTTTGCGTAACAGCGGATACAATAAAACTTCAAAGTTTTAAAAAGTTCCAAGTTCTTGCGCTAGATGCTTCAGCTCATTCACAAAGACTTTTAAACAAACTTTTCATTTGCATTCGTGTGTAACTTTTGTTTCTGGAATTTTAACCACAAGAGAAGAAGTGTTTTTATTTTGATTCGGCCCGTAAATGGGATGCTTTAAAGAAATCTTTGTGAAACAATGAGATCGTTTTTAATAATTATATTTCTGAATGGAATAGTTTTATAACTTGATAACTTAAAGTTATACGTAATACGACATAATATACCACAAACAAAACTTATATATTATATTATTTATTAAAAATGCAGCAACCGTAGCTTTCATCTGGACGCAATTCCGGAAGATGTCAGTTCGATTCCCGTAGCGGCGAATGAAATTTTCGTCCATTTTTTCTATTTCAAATTTTTATTATTTAATTTTTTTGTCCTTTCGCCTTGAAGTAGGCAGATTTGGAGAAATCTCTAAAACTACCACCTAATAATAACTATTTCACAAATATGTTGAAATCGGTAATGTCTGATTTTTTTTATGTGAGAAGGTGGCAAGCGAGCTTAAGTAAGATGTTTGCAACACTCGTAGGGTTGCAGGTTGTTGATTTAAATATCAAACATCTAAATAAATTTAACCTGAAACACCTTTTCAAAACATTAAATACAATGCGCTAAAAATATAAACATCAGATTGCCTCTCCATTGGCAAATTGTTATTTACACAATTGTATACACGTCATTTCAGTTAGGGTGTAAAGTAATGATTATAAATAGCCGAGTAATAAAATACCGTATTTAAATATCAGTTCTAATAAATTACATAATAACTTATAATTCATATTTTCATTCTTGTTACTTTTTCACAAGAAGCAGACGGAAATATTTATTCTATTTGAAATTCATTGAACGATTTGATCAATTTGTTCCGAGAACAGACTGCTATTTACGAATGCATTAATTTTAATATTAGCCACCATGCTAGCCTGGTCTGCGAGCCACTCAGATAGAAACTGATTGTAATTGTGTTCATTATTGAATAAGCAATTGACGTTCAAATTAAATTGAATTGCGCCGTAACTAATGTCGTACCTGTCATAATGAGTTAAATTGAATTGTTCAACGGACGTAATTAAATATGTAGTTCTTCAAATACATATTGATGGCTGTAAAATAAAAAACTATTCGTTTAGAAAGAGTTGATCAATTACTTTAATGATACTTTTCATCGTGTTCATATACTGTGCCATTTATGTCTACTTCATGTAAGTATATAAATCTATCCATCTATTATATATCTATTTCACGTAAAACTATCCATATACGTATCTAAAGCTAGGACTAATCCAAAAAATAGCTACGTTTTTAACTACCAGTTATTGCTAGTCAATTTTTATTTGTTATTTGTTGTTAGTTATATGCTAGTCGCATAAGTTTAAAAACCCGCCAGCTGATAGACTTGTGCACGAAGGGTTCAGTACCATTATCTACCAAAACGGCAAAAAAAATTACGTCTGTTGCATGGACGCGCCACTTAAATTATTCTTCATTCATCATTATTATTACTACATTATATCATCTGTGTACATTTCAACTGTCTAACAATCACGGACAGACAGCCAGACAGCGATAGGGTTCTGTTATCCCGTTTTACCCTTTGTGTACGGAATCCTAAAAATTAAGTTTAGCCAATACTTACATTGTTTATATAAATTACTTGAAAATCTTGAAAAATTAAGATTTTCAGGTTTATTTCGTTTCCTTTAATTAAAACAAATCAATAGCAATAAGATAAATATTGCTATAGCTAACAATAAACGTAAGCTTTAAGATTGAGGTTTGAATCATTCATCATCATCATCATCATTTCAGCCTGTTTGAGTCCACTGCTGAACATAGGCCTCCCCCATAGACTGCCACGAAGTACGATCCTGAGCCACCTGCATCCATCGACTTCCCGCACATTAATGGTTGAATCATTAATGGTTAATAATTGTGGAAGTTATCACGTTTCGAAAAAAACACCTTGGAGTCAGGTGCAACGTGAGTTTTATAATGGGTACCCGTTTCTGACCGGGACGCCCTCCGTGCCTCTGCCACTCCCACAATCCGGTGGCAGGGGATCCATTAAGCATTTTCCCATGTAAATAAAACAAAACAAAACAGAAGCTTCGCAGTATTTTACTAAAAACTTATTAAAAATGATTTTATAGACTGACCTGGCTCATCATCGGATCTGTGTTAATTTGGCACATGTACGTGCCCGAATCCTTGGGCTCGACATTGCTTATGTACAGCTTCCAAGTGTTGTGACCATTGTGCGTTACGGAAAGACGTGGATTTAGTGTGATCATGTGAGTGTGAATCGCTATAATCGTCTTCGTATCGGACTTAATCCATGCCACCTGAAAAAATCTTCTTTTAGAGACTGCCCTATTTTCCCTTCTCATCTATTAACATAATTTTATTGATTATGTATATTATTCCAGCATTTTTAATTAGCTTGGGCACTTATATTTTGCGTCCATATTCGTTATCCGTTTTATATAATTAACGTAAACGATGTAAATAACGAACCGTAAACCATCGGCAGGTTGTGATTTTTTATTTTAGTTTTATTTTGATTTTATATTCCCGAAGTTTCGAAACCTTTCTAACATTCATGGTTACGGAACAGACTGTGTGATCAAAATAAAACGCGATAAAATGTCATGTTTTTACATTTCATGCACGTACAATATACATGTAGTATTGACATGTCAGGAATGAATAGGTTTTTGTCTGTACCGAATCCTCTAATTCTTACGTTTATACGAACGCAATGCATTATTAGACGTAGGCAATGTCTTCCTATGAGCAAAATTCAGATCTTATTGCAATGTTTTTTATTATTTGCTATAGTACTATAGTATATCGAATAGAATAAACATGTTCTATATTATCAAATAAAAGCACGAATTCTGTTAGTATTATGACATATTATGTTTTACCTTATAACTGCCAAGATGATTCACTGTGCACGTAAAATGAAGATCTCGACCCTGAGGGATGGTTAGGTTCTCGAGGGGCGATAGAAACTCCGGTTCTTGTTCACTATATCCCGATCCTTGTAATTGGCCTATAACCAAATTGAAATGTTAATTGTTAGTTCATAATCATTCAGAATGAGGTTCACCAACTAAACTGTGACATTATTCAGTTGGTGGGCTGCTTCGTATTTTCATAAGGGTTTTGACGTAAAAACATTATTGCCAAGTGTTAATCATTCCGAACTTGGCGAGAAAATTCACCTGTAAACTATATCCTTGATCCAAAAAAGCCGATTCGAATGGTCCTTACTGACAAATATAGTCAAAGGAATATAGGAGGAAATTTTACGATAAAGTAAGAAGTGAAGTGGTAGAGTACGCCATTCCTTTACGAAAAAAGCTCACAATTGAACGTATCAGCTTTATTTTCAACGTACCGGAACACAAATAAAAGAAGTGGAGACCAAATTGGCCTTTCAAATTGGTTGAAATTGGGTCGGGCTTGCACAAACAAAAGTGGTGAAAAAGCTGACGCTACTGCAATCGGTAACAACAACCGATTTCGATTCATTAATAATACTTCGCGCAGAAATTTACAACAGGCTTAATATAACTGAAATATGTTGGTTTACAATGCAATTGAATGAATGTTCATCTTGATATCTTAAATCGAATTGATAAAACGCAAGATCAATAGTATGTTCTTTACTTGTCAAATTAATGTCAATTGTCATGTCAAACCGATACGTACCGATTTATTGTACTACCTCCGATTGAGTCAAATTTTATGAGTTTTAGCTCTACATTAATTAAAAAATATGCACCACCTATAACAACTAATACAAAATGTATTATTGCAATAAGCTTTCCATCATTCACAAAGTCCAATAAATTTGGAAGAATGTCACAACTGTTAATTGTTGTCCATCTACATTTAATATCGATTAGATATTTGTGTTATTAATTACTTTACGTTAATTCATATGTGATATGACCGAAATCATCATTTGCTCTGTCCCTCACAATGAACAGACGGCAATTAGTATCTGCCATTTAAACCCGACCAACCGTTATACGGACGACCGTGATTCGTTTTTCGGCATTCGGTATTCCGCGATTAGGGATGCGAATCGAGAAAGGTTGGCGTTTAAAAAGGGTCACACTAAATGTGCCATACGGTGACATCGAAACGATTAATGGCTTGGTGAGGGACTTTAGAATAACGAATATTTTTTATGCGATCCGGCTATATTTGGATTGACTTGAATTTTTATTTTTCATTAACTCTATTCTTATTTTTTTTTCCTTTAAAAGGACCTTGAATGCATGGTGGTTTGCAATATGTTTTTAAGTAAAATAAATAATCTATTTTTTTTTTGCTTACTTATATCAATATTAGGATCAAGCTATACAAAAGTAGAATACTTAACAAAACACGCCAATATCAATTATAACAAAAGCCTATGCTATTTTATGAAATTCATAATTAAATACGATCTAATAAGACAAATTTAATTAACGTCCGCTCGTCGCCTTATCAAACTAATACGTTATAGACAGAGATGAGATACAATGTCATTACCACTTCCACGTTAATTTAATTACACAATAATTACTTATAATTAATTCCTGCCTATCATTCAAAGGATGAAATCATATAAAATTTAAATGTAATGTTTTCTTTTCCCATTTAGAGAAACGGTAAACAGCTAATTTTAAATTTTGTCTTAAGACCAAAACAAAAATACACCAAACAGTTTTTTTTAAATACGTTTACAATTTTCTACAAGTTGTAATACCGCTACAATCTTTAATCAATTTCTTAATTTAAATGACTGATCGACTTTGATTAGTCAAATTTATACAATGTTTTTATACGTAGAAATACTAAAAAACAGAATAAAAAAATATTTCATTGGGTCTCCCATAAAACAAAACAGATATGATGTTTTTGCTGTTTTATTGATAATGGTACGGAACCCGTTAGTCCGACTCGCACCTGGCCGGTTTTATTCATTTTTTAAAATATTTTTAAATGCGTACTTGGCACAATGACACTACCTGGTACCGGATTTGGAAAACAGATAATCCTGAAGGTCCTGATCAGGATTATGGAGAACTATTAACTATTTAAATCATTGCATTGTCATGGGTGTTTGACGAGTGTGAAAACTTTGATTCAAATCTAATTGTTCAAAGTGGGGCAAAATCACGTTTAAAGACTCCGTTACATACATACAGGTGAAACTATTATAAGCGTTTTAATAAAAGTAAAGTAACAGCCTATACATCTGCTGGGCAAAGGCCTCCTCTGTACAGAGGGTAGTCCGCAAGTTTTCGGACAATTCGCTATTACGGAGCATTTGTGTGGCCCAAAGATAATTGTTCCAGACCTGGGTGTTTGTTTCTTAAGCAGGGTTGATGTCAAGCAGGCGGTGGGATAAGGGCAGGAGGATGATGATAATTAATGATGATGAGTTAAAAATGCCCTTAGAATTAAAATATAGTAATAAAAATAACTATTTGTAGAAATGAAAGCGGAAACAATCAACATATAACACTGCCCCTTCAATAAGTACTATTCAAGGCCAATCTTGTCTTTTAAAGTTCATACTTATAATAAATAACGTCGTCATATTATTAATTTCCCTGTAACAGATGATTTCTTTCGTTAGCTTGAATTTTTTTGCCAAAAATCAATTACTACAAAACTAATTTCTGATATTTTATTAGTTTGATAGCTTTAACTGTAGTAAATTCTACGGCAATTTCATAAAATTTAGCAATTTCATACAATTTCATAAAACTTACATATATGTTCATAAAATTTTAGCTCTACAACAAATAATTTATTGAAATAGATACCCATGTAAGTGTTATGCATGAATGTTTAAAAAATCTTCCAGGATTCGATTTCTGAACCTAGCCAACTGAGCTAAACAGCCGACATCATCACGGCACGAAATCTTAACAACTGTCTACTGATATTGTACATCTTTAGCAATGGTCCTGAAAACGCCGTCTGATTTGAACTAGAGGTATTGCCACTCAAGATTTAGGTACGGACCAAAGAAAGAAGCACATTCAAATGTCATCAGGTGCGAATCCTGGTAATTATGAGGATTTTCTGGTAATTTATCTAGGGTAAACACATTTGAAATTCATCTTGTGTGCAGATTAGCACTAGAAATGAAAGATCTCAAAGGGAGAACCCTAAAAAAGATATTTCATTTCAACTTGCAATTGAAATATAAATATGAATAATAGTAATATGAAGTCTTGAAGCAAATACGGAAATGAGTCTTCAATTTCAACATTGCGCAACTGCCTTATGGTTAACATTATTTCCCAAAGCACTGTTGGCAATTCCCGCAATATGATAGAACAAAACATCAGAATGTTTGTTGCCTTTGTCTAGTTTTGCATGCGTGAATCCAACTCTCTCAAATGAAAATTAATAACACGTCAATACAACGTCTCGACCATAAAGGCTAAAATAATAATAGTTATATTTATAAGTATATTTATACTTATATATTCATATTATATAAAATTATGATTTTACTTCGTTTTGTATTTGATATAGTTATTATATTATATTACAAAAATTCCTTTACAGTCAAGGCTATCTGCTTGTGGAATGAACTACCTCAGCAAATTCGTCGTGCAAAGACGCTAGACAAATTTGAACATGACGTAAAGAATCACTATCTTTCCCTCTGTAATCCATAGGTAACATTGACAATATTAATCTATTATACTTTCATATATTTATTTATGTTATTTGTATATATTATATATTTATTTATGTTTATGTATGTTTATTATAATTTATTTTATTATTATTAAGTTTATTAAGCACACCACCTCCCACTATTCATAAGTTTATTTTCCTTGTCCTAAGGTTGTCTGGAAGAGATCGCTCTTTAGCGATAAGACCGCCTTATTGTACCTAGCTTTTAAGATTTATTTTATATGAACTGTATAAAACTTTTTGTGGTGTACAATAAAGTATATATAATAATAATAATAATAATAGTTTTCTCAAGACTTTTTCCTCCACCGCTGAGCACGTGATAAAATTAACAATTTAATTGCTGCCGGCACCGGGATTGAACTCAGATTGCTCAAGTATATTGATTTAAAGGCGAGTTCCCAGAGACTGAGCTGTCACTTACATAATTTCGTAATATTAACAAAAAAAATATTTCGAATATAATTATGTAAATTCCACCAATCCGCAGTGGGGCCGCGTGGTATACTATATACCTCTCTCTATAGAGGAGACCTTTGCCCAGCTGTGGGAAATGTATAGGCTCTTACCTTACTTTACTTTTTTGTGTTTAATGAGCAAAAAGTATTATACTCAAGAAACTAAAATTAATCCTTACTAAACCCACCTAGGTGGGGTCGGCAGAACATGTGAATGTAAGAAGTTTTGACTGTTATATGTTTTTTTCGACCAACCGTTTGCCTAACGTCAACCCTTCTTGGAAAACAAACACCCAGATCCGTAACAGTTAACTGTGGGTCACATAAATACATGTCCCGTGTGAAAATCGAACCCACGACGTCCCACGGCGAAGCCAATAGCTTAGCAACGGTGTCACCGAGTGCACGATCAACTAAAATTATATTAAAAATTTTTGAACTTGTAATTGAAATCTTGTTTTAAATCTAAGTATTCCATAGATAGACATTTGAATAAAATCTAAAAAATTATCCACATCACTAATTAAATACGATTTTTATCGACATTTATAGATCGAATAAATAGAGGCAGTTTGTTTTTGACTGACATTTCTTGGTAGAAATTGTTGCATTGAGTGTACTCTAAGATTAATAGGAGATACAGACAGGTTAATAGATATACGAAAACGAATTTAATTAGTATATTACAACAATATTTCATTAACGTGTGCTTCGTATTTTGGTTTGAGCTGTATCCGATTACGTATTCCAATTATTCAGTATTTCACGCTCATCGACGCCTATAATTACATTCTGATAGAATGCATTAAATCCACCACGCACACGTCCACTAATTTCCATACAATTAATACTATGATTAGTAGTAATCTACGAGCGCGAGTTTTACGGTCTATTTCAATTAACATTCTGTCCGCAATATTTATCTGCGTTCGTTTTATTTGCAAACATAAAACCATTTTAATTAAGCGACAATAATGAAATTGTGGAATTCGAGGTGGGCAAGCTGCAGAAATGAGTAAACCCTAAACAATTAAAAGAAAAGGTTGTATAAAGTGTTTTCAATTAAACCTGGAATCCGCTAAGCCAAAGCCCCGTGTGGATTTTCTAACTGCAAGCGTCTTGAGAACGTGAGAGAATTGAGAACAGCATCATTCTAAACATACTGAGGACATTCTCGAGACAACGTAAAACCAATAATATTTAGAAATTATTCAAATGTGACTTGACTTGATCATCAAAATTATAAGAGAATGTAAGTTTTTTTTTTATGTGAGAAGGTGGACAAGCGAGCTGGCGGTTCACCTGATGTTAACTATAACCGCCGGCCATGGACGTTTGCAAGGTAAGGTTGTAGATGCATTGGCACCTTTTAATAAAGTGTGCCGCGGCTACCTCACTCAACAGATGAAACGCAGAAATAAAAAACTTCCACTTCACGCCGGTCTTCTGTGAGGTCCCGGTACTTCCCCGAACGGACTTGAAGTTATTGTGTAATGGAAACTTCTTATATTGAATATTTCATATAACACATTTCTGGAAAATTCGTTCATGTTTATTAAAGACAAATAAAATGCTGAGCTTATATTAAACTCGGAAGTTTGAAAGAGAAGGAAAGAATTCGATGATGTTTTAAATAAGGACAACCTATACAGACGGTAGCAAAATCACTCGCTGCTATGACTTTACTGTAACATTTTAGTACCTCTCGAAATTTATTCAGAGGCAGGAAGAGAAAATTAATGCTAGCAAAGACCTGTGAAGAGATACCTATTAGTGGCGAAACGAAACACATTTACGTGTAGCAGAGGACTTGCTCAGCGGCGCTCTTTGAGTGACATTTTATTAAGGCTAGGCTAACGAGTTTTTGATATAATGACAAATTTGTGGCAGTACCCTACGCATTTACAATACATAAATCTCTCTTTATTAAGCTAAATGAATTAATTTAACAATTGTAGCAATAACATACGTAGGACAAGAGAGTCATTTAATTTAAAATAAAAAGATACCCCTGTCTGAATTATATTGATGTAAACAATTAAAAAAACTATTTACTGACTTAAATAAGTCAACATCTTCAGATAAAGATAAAATTCGCCACTAGAAGTCTTCGAATTTAATAAAATCATTGAAAATTAAGTACAAATCCCACTACTCAATAGAAATATGCTCATTTCAATTCAAGTCAGCATAAGGATGAAAAAGTTTAAGTCATTTCCCCCAACCATTTTTACCAAGTGACTGACGTGAAACTCAGTCACGTAGACCGCATTCGCTTCAATCAAATCAACGTACCTTAGACACGCTTCACTTACTTTCAGGCTTAATACATTTAACTTTCATATACTCTATGGAATTAGGTTTCGAGCATTATACTTTTTTGACTACTGTTGCCCAATCGAATTTTTATTAAATAAACCAAACTTTAAGGTAATATCTTTCATCATTTCAAGATATTAAATTTTATTTTATTATGTAAGGATCAAAATGTAGGTGAATTCATTAAATATAATGATCATAGTAATGCCTATGATCATTAAAGTTCTCTTTAGTCTTGTGATTGCCCACTGGCTCTGATGTTGGTACTAGTATCTCAGACCAAGGTAACAGTGAATTTGAGTAAAGGTTTGCTGAAATAACAGACTGGTGGTTAGCGGACATTATGTCAACAATCCAATACGGGTACCTTTTGTTTGTTCCCAAAGTAAGCCCATGACTGTAAACAGTTTACATAACAAATACATTTAGCGTAACTAAATCGAGCAACTCTACCATTCCTAAACTTGACATTTGAATAAAGTCGTAGTTTTTAAATAAAAATAAGACTTTGAAGTAAGTAATTTTCATATTAAACATTATCAGTCAATGCTATCAAAACATGTTAAACATTTTAAACAATGTCTTAAAAAATAATGACTTCATTATATTTTTTTTAAATGTTAAAAAGGATGTTTTGATAGCATTAACTGACAATGTTCAACATGAAGTGATTATGAAGCCTAGCGTAGGCTACGTTTTACGAAGTTTTATTAGCGAGAACTTGTTTTACCTTTGTGATATTAAGGATATTAAGTAGGAGAGCAACATAATATTTTTCACAAATATCGGTGATGGAAACTTAAGAAAAACTTCTAAGAAAATTCGACGCAATTGTTAATATATTTAGATATAAAGCAAAAGATATTGTATAAAAGTATAAATAGAAGGAAATCGCCATCCTAGAGAGAGGGTTTCACCTGATAAATGGGAGATAATTCAACCTGTTTTTTGTTGTTCCTTCCCAGAACGAAAGCAATCCGTTGAGTCGTCTGCGGTGGGAGAAAATTACTTTATAGTTTGATAAAAATATCTGCAATATTACATATTAAAACCCCCTATTCAGTAACAATTCGTCTAAGGTGGTAAACGGGAAAATTCTACTTGGCACTGTATACATTAAATGCACTATGCACCGATAATTGCCCTGTATTGTGACGGAGTTCTTATCGTCACTAATTAATAAACACCTTAATACTTACCAGCTACTATAGTGAGTAGGGCAAAAGTCGAAACCAGCGGTAGGCCCCCGGTCTCGGCAGAAACAGCTCGTATACGCCTTGGTGATTCTGCCATCTTAGCCACATATATTTGTTGACCTCGAACACTTCGCTGTGGTTTTACGTAACGTTGAACATTTCCAAGAGAATTCTCCGCTTAAATTTTTCTTGCTCTTTTTTAATCTATTTCATTATGGGCCACATCCCTTTTCATTTTTTGAACAATTTTTAGTGTTTCATTCTTATTCATAAACAGCTTCAGAGTAACATCTGTAACAAAAGATTACTGTTGAAAATTGTTCCGTGAATTTGTCCAATTAATAGATTGAGAATTAGTGATATTTCTTGCTATTACATATCGGACGGTACGGAAAAGATAGCTGCATATAAGATGCATTCAGTTTCATAGTTTCATAAAGTACATACGTTATGTCTACGTACAAACACATGGTAGGTTTTTATTACACCAGTTTCCGCGGCGTAGCGTGAGCAAACTGAGATAAAACAGGAATGATTGCCGCTCTGACGCTATATTGTTTCAAGTGTTGTGTTCCATTCCAATAGCTATATGGTTTTATTCGCCTATAATCTAACACAAGTGTTGTTGATTTTTCTTTGAATCTTATTTTTTTAAGCCTTCATAAAAAATTTAAATAATTATTGTAATAATAAATAGGATATCATTCCTTATGATGATCTGTAATGAACGAAGAAATTTGTTGATACAAAAATTGTATGGACTTAGAAGTAGCGAAATTGATGTGTTAGTTCATGGAAAAAGAAAGCCTTAATCTCTGCTTACCCTTTACTGTAAGTGGGTACTAAAGTAATAATTTGTTAATCAAGTTTTTTGTAATAAGTTAATAGCAATTTTTTTGAGTTTTTGTTTCTTTAGCAAGCACTGGATAATTCAGCAAATGTAACTGCACATTTACATCACTACCGACGCCTGAGGGTTTTTAGCTTACATTGCACTGAAACAATATTATGCAAGTAGCCAAACACTAAGCTAGGAATAATCAAGCTAATTATTAAATCACAGCGTTAAGTGTATTTGGTGTAATAATAAAATTTAGTCATAACATGAAAAGATTATCTTTTGCAAGATTTGCACCTATCTGTATTGTAATACTGTAATACATTTCATTTGGCTCATAATATACAGTTATTATGTTGGAAGGTTTTCTTGTCGAGATTATTTCATTGTTTACCAAGTTATCGTTCGACTGTTCTGATCGGTATACGCTCCACGGCGGCATCGTTGCCGTACGACCGTCCGTCGCGGCAATAAACAATACAAACAGCCCGACCCTGCGTTTGACACCAGCCCGTTCGGAGTGGATTAGAGTGCTCTATAGGGAGTTCGGCAGCATTTAGGAAGCGTAATAGCCTGCCGCCGTGACCTGTTTAAGTTGCGACAAATTGAGATTTACTGGATCGCCCCTACGTGCGGTTCGGTACAATATAATAAAACAACCATTTCCGAAAGTTACGGTTTCTATTTTAATTCTAGCTACTACTTACGATTTACGATGTAGTTACTTTCTTTGCTATAACAGATTTAAAAAAAAAAGAACAAATTAGAATATTTTTTTAAAGCACACGCTCTCTTCCAATAAAATCCGGAAGGAGGACATTCGCCGAAGAACCGGAGTCACCGACATAGCTTTTCGGATTTGCAAGTTGAAGTGGCAGTGTGCAGATCACATCGCTCGAAGAACTGATGACCGAGGAGGAGTAGGTTCTCTAGTGGCGGCCACGAAGTCCAAGTGGAAGACGTAGCGTTGGAGGGCCTCCTTCTGGGTGGACCGAAGACATAATAAGAGTCGCGGGCAACCGGTGGACGCAAATGGTGGTGTCGTTCGTCGTGGCGTTCTAAGGGAGGCCTGTTTAAAAGTGGATGGATGTCTTGCGGCTGATGATGATAATGACTTGCTCAGGTCAGTTTTTCTGTTTCGTGGCAACAGCATAAAACGTACGTATTTAGCACGTGTTTACACATAAAAACCGATACGTCAAAGCGATCGTTTCACTAGCATGGTAAACTACGCAGCTTTTACTTAATTAATGATATTATCATGCTAAAATATTTGTTGCTATAACTTTTTGATCATATAAACTTATTCCGTAACTTATTCATATTTTTATTTACTAATATTTCTGGAAACTTACATTTACTTTCTAACGTAGTAATTTATTTGCTTAAAAACCTTAAGTCTGTTATCTCACGAGTGGCACTCTACAGATACGACTTACAGCCGGCTTCTAACTTAGGCTCCTATTGTCATATTTACATTGTCTATGCTCACATCCGAATTCCGATTAACGAGAAACTACGATCAAGTATTGTTATAATAATAACTATTTGATATATTCGTAACTATTTGGTGAACGGCAAAACCATTTCCTATAATTCCACAAGCAAATATTATGTGCCAATATCCCCATTGAACAAACGTTATTTGATTGCGATTCGTATATTGTGTGTATATATTGCAACGTTATGATCTACGGTTTAATTTGCGAGCTATCAGTTTAATTAGAAGTTTAGGAAAACAAGGCTACAAATTGAAAATACTTAAAGATTTTTTAACGTTTAAAAACTTTCCGATATCATATCGTTATTGAAATTATTTACCTAGCATTCTCAATCATTAATATTAATAGATCACTTTTGATCTTCGTAGCCTATTCTTAAGATTTAACCGGTTATTATTGGAAATTCCATTGTAGCCTTTTCGCCCATATCTATTCAAGTACAATGACACCCACAACAAAACAGGCCACTTGTGTCATGACATTTTTTGCGCAGGCAAAATATGTCAGCTCCGGAATATTGATAATCGATTAGGACGCGAGCAATTATTTTACATCAGAATTTGAATCTTCCTGCGTAAGAAAATACCATGCATGGAATAACTGTGCTGATAAACAAAACATTACTTTAATATTAGAAAAATAGAAAAAAGTAAGTTTTATTCTATTAAACTATATATTTCCTTTTAATTTTTACCGCTTGTATTCTCACGCTGACCTTTCCATACAATTAACCGCATGGGCTGCCTTACCTTCGCAACTCCGCAATTTCTTAATTCACAATTTCAACGTTAAATTGTCCGGTTAATTACTGCTATTGTGGTGGACGACGTCTGCTCATTATTCAGAGATCGCTGTCTGGAAATTTTCGTGAAAAATTTCACGGGAACCGGTTGCTAAATCGCAATAAGTAATTAGCTTATCTGTCGGAGTCACGCGCAGGGTGCCCTCTGTCAGAGTAGCTAAGAAAGGGGGAAAGTTGGAAATGGGGGAGGGGCTCGGTTCCCTCTTACATTAATCCCTCTGTGTTAATCTCGACTCTGTTTAATAAACAGACTCTCTTGACTGGACTCGGATTAAATAATTTCGCGTCAGCAAATTTATACTCACCGGTTAAAAGTGGGTAGAATTTATGATGACTTAGTGTCTAACTGGTTGGTACTGAATGAGTTCGCGCATACAGATGGCAGAAGCGACAGACTTTGACACCTTTCTAGAGTTGGATTCTCGCATAGACGGAAAGTTTTCACATTCGAAGTTCACAAGCAACATGAACTTAAGTCAACGACAGCATACTGTTCCAGTCAGATTGTTTAAATCTTGATATACTTAAATTGAAGGTGGCAGATAGTGGTCTTTTTACGAATGAATTTTCTTCAGTTAGGTATCAATCCATTGTAATCACATTATAATCTTTAATTCTTTTCAAGAATCTTCAATTTTTCAAAACATTGAAGTTATTTTTTTTAAGTATTAACAAAGCGAAAATAGTGTCGTATAAGCATTCTTTTGTATAACTTTTCTGTAGGTGAACCAATTTTCTATGGATTTGAATTAGTGGCGATAGCCTGTACTTATTTGGTTCCGAAGATAACTGAGTAAGTTAATGTTCGTATGGGAATCATGTTGTCAACAAGGTTTCGGATACAACTGACTTGTTAAATTCTAAATAACATAAGTTCAGGTCGTTACCGTTATCTTTTCATCGTTTTAAATATCACGGAAATAATTAAAATTAAACATTATCATAATAGCTTTTGGTGCTAATGCAATAAAAATGCACAACTGTTGAAGACTGTTTCACCATTTAAGCTATAAAACATCTATACATACATTTTACAGCTTTTTCAATTAAAATATGTGGACTAAAATGTATTATTGACTTACTTGAATGATAATATAAAATTGAACCAAATTACATGTAAAAAACAATATGCCGATGTAAAATATTCTGATTATTTTCAGCGTCGTAGCCTATGACTTGGTTAAAAAAAGTTTCCGATTAATTACATTTATTGTGGCCGAAACTTCGCTCGTTAACTGACGATTTTCCCCAGATTCTCATTTGATAAACTGGCACCTCCTTTAGCGAAACTTTTGAAGTCGCCGTCGGTCGGTTAAACAGGACTTAAAATTATGCCGCGAAAAATTCGCTAATATTTTCCCGCCGCTATACATGAAACATGTTTAGCTGTATATGAAAACAGTTTACCACCTGATAGTAGATAATCAGCCTAGAGTGTACACCGTTCACGGACGGACAATCACAAGACCAGAGCAACTATACTAGTGTTGCTCGCCTTTAATGTGAAAATGGGCTGTAAAAATTTCCATATACATTTGCACATAAACAATCGGTAGCACAGACTGTATAAATACAACTAATCCTATATCTCATCCATGCAGGCCTCAGCTTTAGCCTTTGAAATGCAACTAGCCTACGACGCTCGCCTGCAAGTAACTAACGATCATTAACTTTAAAACCGTAATTATATTTTCCTCAAGATGAAGCTGAGATTAAAAGCAAGAGGCACAAGTATTAACCACTATTAAACAATAGCCATGTGGTCTTAACACTGCCTAATGAATTCGATATTGTAATTGAAACTTGGAGAAAATTTTTATACCTTTATATAAAAGAGCAAAATCAACAAGCATTTACTTCAGCAGTAAGTGTGAATCTGTGTTACAAAAATTAGACAGTGATTTTTGTACATGATATATGTTACTTACCGGTATCCAACATACAACCTGATTCCT